GGTTATTGATTCAAAGTAAGCTGAGCAATGATCATGCTGCTTGTAGGAGATGACTAAACAAGTCAATGATGGAAAACATCTTTAGTAATTTTGAAAAAATTGGCATAGATATTGTAACTAATTTTGAATTGGATAAAAATTCAACAATTTAAACGACTAAACATATAACATGTATAGAGCACAAATAAGCAAAACATTTCAATACACTTCCACCCCAAACTTTAAACTTGACATTTTCCTCAATGGACTAAAACATAGGCGAGCAATGAAAGGAGTGGGGCAATACCTCATTTGCTTTTATTTATCGAAGCATAAATAAATGATAGGTTAAGAGTATCTCACCTTCATTGTTTTTAAAGAGATTCTAAATAAGAACCAAAAAAATAATAATACAGATAGTGGTGAGAGCTTATGCTTAATCTCTTAGTTAAGGAAAAATAAACAAAAAAAAAAAAAAAAATTCCCATCAAGTAAGAGAAAAGAAACTTCTACTGGTCACCTCCTTCCCTTACATGCCTAGGAAGGATATTGTTGAACCTCTGGTCAAACTCCTGCATCCAATCTCATAAGCTCTACAACATCTCGAAGCTCTGCCTCTGCTGCTCTGTCAAAGTTCACTGTTGTGTCTCCATCAATACTCTCCAAGCTCGAGTCTCCTCTATCTCATCTCTATGATCATGCTCATAAGCATTCTAGCGCTACTCGTTGTACTGATGGTACTGTAGTAGGTTCTCCTTCTGCATCGGTATACTCTCGTAGATATGTCATGTCTCCCACATATGCTCCATACTCTTGCTTCGGTGGTGCTGAAGTAGATGAGCTAGCCTACTCTCTTGGTCTCTGATCTTGTACTCTAATCAAGCGCACGACTGCCTTCCCTGTAGCAGTCCAAGCAGAATGAGTGAGGTAGTCTTCCTCAGTGAGGTCTACTCCAACAGATGACAACCTTTCTACTCCAAAGGGTAGGTAGGTTGTCTATTGCATACCAGAAACTCACCACACCACAAAACAAATAACGAATACCTGAAAATTGAAAGTTGACCACAATGTTTTGAAGCGGACCAGAATACTCACAAAACTGACTACAAATATTATGAAGCAGAATAAAAAACTCAGACTAGACCATAAATATGACAAACCCCATATGACACCACAAAACTAATAATGTAACCAAAAATTCATAAAACATACCAGAAGCTCACCGCACCACAAAACTCATAAATCTGATCGCAAATATCATGAAGTAGACCAAAAAGTTCAAACCAAACCAAAAAAACTCATAAAATAGACCATAAACTTCTTAAAGTTGCAAAAAATGTAAAAGTGAGTGCGATAGATGATTAAGCCCACTAGTAGTCAGATCTTGAAGATAACACTATGTACACACTAACCCAGTAGAGTGGAAAATAGCGGAACGGTTGTTGAGCCATCGGAGTGCCTTTCCCGTCAAAGAATAGGGGAAGAGCTTCAATAGCAATGGCTCCTCGGGGACGCCATTTATCTTTAAGCTTTCCGCTAGTTCAAGAAACCATTGGACGTGCTCTCATGGTGATTCATGAGCAAGTCCGTGGAAGTAGGCATTTTGTTGAATCATCGTCACAAGAGAGGGCTTGATCTCAAAGTTGTTGGCAGTCACGGGTGGATGTAAGATGGGATATAGGATATCCTCCGCCCGTGGAGCCATGTAATAGCTCATAGTCCTTAGCCCTTTCTCGGCTCCCGCTTCTCTATTTGGGTTTGGAAGCGGATTAGCCCCTCGGTGTTGATTGCCCACCATCTCAACTTCAACTTCTTCTTCAACTACTTCAATTCCGTGATCAACTTGTTGTCCCCTTTCTTCACTTCTCCTTCTTGCCTCCGCTTGCTCCCTCTCTCGAGCTAGTAGTCGGAGGGTCCGGTTGATGTCCTCGTCCAGTGGTGTCAAAGGCATCAGATTGTTCCGGGTCATGCACCTCCCTACACACACTCAAAGAGCACAACACGTCTAGCACAAGCAAACACTTCACAACTTAACAAAAACAAAAATTAAAAGCTAGATTAACACCAAACAAACTTTTCACGATAACGGACCGAAGTCCCCTGCAACGGCGCCAAAAACTTGACTCGCTGTGACTATGACAATAAAATCCCACCTAAGGTCCAAATATAAACCTTAGATGGGTGCTATATAGGTCAAGTATGTTTTAGACCTTTGTTTTCACCAAAACCAATCCGCTAGATAATGTTTCAAACAGTCGAAGTAGCGGTACATAGACCGGCCCGGGTCGATATTTAAACATACTTGACCTATATAGTCTATGTACCGCTACTTCGACTGTTTGAAACATTATCTAGCGGATTGGTTTTGGTGAAAACAAAGGTCTAAAACTAAATTGCTTTGCAAAGATAAAATGGATTTAACACTAGTTGAGAAAGCTTCACCGGGTGTTGCTCTCCCTAGCTAACAATTATGACTTGAAGAATCGAACGCCGTGTGTGGTTAGAGGGTCATAAACCGCAAGGAAGTCTAACAAGCAGCCAAAGCTACCCTCTTAGTTTCTAGGTTGAGGAATGAGATACGATCCAAGCCTTTAATGAGACCCTCTCAACCTATCAACTAAGGAATGGTTAGACTTCACCCTCAAATAGGAGTTCGGACGGCCACCCACAACCAAACCCTAAGTGCTAATGCGAAATAAGAGGTATGCCCTTTAACTAACCTAGAATAGTAGGGATAGAATGCCCAAGGAAACCCATCTCTAATAGTGCCTCTTAAGTTAAGGAGGGTTCTCTCTAAATTAGCTTAGGACGCATTGAATGCCCAAGGAAACCCATCTCAAAATGAGCCTCTTAGGTAAAGTAGGGTTCTCTCTAAACTAGTTTAGGAGGCATTGAATGCCCAAGGGAACCCGGCTTGAATCGAGCCCCTTTTGAGTGAAGGCGGTTTCGTCTCTAAACTAGCCTAGGAGGCATGAAATGCCCAATAACACCCATCTCAATATTGAGCCTTTTATCCTAAGAAGGTTTCCTCTCTAAACTAGCCCAGTTACATGAAATGCCCAAGAACACCCATCTCAAATTGAGCCTCCTAACCTAAGGAGGTCTCCTCTCTAAGCTAGGTTAGAATGACAATTAGATTGATAGGCTTTCACACAACACAATCATTTCTGAATAATACCTTCACATTCACATTAAAACACAACCACACACAAATCATTCAATTCATACAAGCATTCACATAATTGTAGTTGGGGTTTACAAAAGAAAAGGGAAAACACAAGAGAGGGAAAGAGAAACCATCAAGAAGATGCAATCCTTGCTCCTTGTGCTGAATAAATCCTCATTTAGGGAAGGAATTCCCAAAACCTTGCTTGGAGATGAAACCCTAGTTTTCCCTCTTCTTTGGTTCGTCACTTTCTCACTTATAAATCTGAAAAAGGAGAAGTTTCTCACACTAGGTCTCTCCCTTTCTTCTTCCTTTCAGCTTTCCTTTTAAGTTGTGATCGCGCCCAGTTCACGGCCTGAGTTCACGACCGTGAACTCAGTGCTGCGAACAAAATGCACCGCTTCATTTGCTCGGGTTCACGGTCAGTGGCCTCTATTGACGGTCTTAGCGACCGTGAACAGCCTGGGCGTCAGTAACCTGAAAAGAGAAAACCCCCTCTGTTTCCTCATCGCTTCACGGGTCATGGCTCCAGTTCACGGTCCTGTAAGACTGTGAACTCCAACGTCTAGCCGTGAACAACGACTATCTCCACTCTTTGCCCGGTCTTTGCTCATTTTCTTCCAACTTTCGACTCCGGGTTTGGTTTTACCTGTTAGGATCTGAAACACACTGAAACACAAACAACATCGCGTAAAACCAACCTTTTTGGACTTCAATTGCAACAAATGTCAAAGAGAATCGGGGGATAAAAAGTGTACAATTAGACCCGAATCACCCTCCGCTCCACAACAACTACCGCAACTACCTGATCCTCTTCATCTTCCTGGTGCACCAACATCTTCTTCTCCTTCACTCGCCAGATCGCTTCCGCCGCCATATTGGACTGGTTGAGTCTCTCCCCGATTTTAGATATGCGCTTAGCATATGGCGATTCAGCCTCAATTTCTAGTCTGCGACTCTTCTCCACAAGACGGTGGGCATTGGAACTCGAGCTCCCTGTCATTTCTCTATTATCGGCTAGGGATTTGTTAAGGAGATAATTTGTTTTGCCCATTAGTTTGTTCCTCTGGCCTGAATCTGGCTAGGTTTTTCCTTAAATCCAGATCTTTGCAGTCGACAAAATAAGATCCATCAGCTTTCGAGAATCCCATTTCTTACCTCAAGAAGGAGCGGGCGGTTTCAATGGAACCCACTACCGCTATTGTTCTATTTGCGTTTCTTGTTGCTTCTAGTATTCCAATGAAGTCGACGCCACCGCAACAGAATAAGAAGACGACGAGCGAGCAGCGGGGGTTGGCGAAGAAGGGAGCATTAGTGAGAAGGGTAATTGTGGTGTGCTGAATATCAGGGGTGATTAGGATGTTTGGTGTTGTTTCGGGATTGGATTTTTGGTAGTTCTGCTTCCTGCGCAAAGGTGACGGACGAGAAGAAAGGGTAGGTTTAGGTGTTTATAGAATAATAGGAAATTAAGTTTTATTTTTATTTTTTAATAGTTGTAAAAATGAGGTGAAATTGTAAGGCCCTGTTCACTTCCATTTTCGTTTCCCGTTTTCTGTTTTCATGTGATAAATTTGGCAACCGAAATGAGAAAACTTGTTTACTTTTCATTCTGTTTTCTATTCGTTTCCAACTGTGAAAACAGAAAGTGGCAACTTCCTGCTGTTTTCAGAAACGACAAAATGTTGTTTTCACCTGTTTTCAACATCTGTTTTCTCAAAAAACAGAAAACAGAAATGAAAGTAAACATGCCCTAAATGTTTGAATTTTATTAGTTAATATTTTTTAATGGCTACATCACTCATTTTACGGTCCACTATAAAAGTTGACTGCCACATCAGCAAAAATTAACAGAGAGTGACCAAATTTGAACTATTGAATTAATCTTAGTGACCATAAATGAAATTAAATATTTGCAGTGACCAAACTAGATCGTTTAGTAAACACAATGACCAATCTTGCAATTTACTCCAAAACAAAACAAAGAAATCCCTAAATCCTAAAAGCCTCGCTCATACCACGAATACCAACTCTAAATTGTGGAATCTACCAGGAGCAGAGATATCTACTGGATGCATGCACCTTTCGGGTCTGCATTCTTGATTATCCATGGATGATCCATAAGCTTCTTAAGAGAGAGACGCTTAGCAGAATCCTTCACAAGAAGCTGCAATGCCATTTACAGGATTCCATTACCTTCATCAATACATGCTAATGCTCAAAATATGAAGAGTTTGAATGTATAGAAACTCACTCTGCTAATTAAGTCTTTCGCTTCCTTCGAGACTGGAGGATTAGGCGGGAAGCTAAGATCAACCTTCACGATCCTGGAATTTCAGGGTTCACAAGTCAATAAACAACTGTCTAATGCAGTTAGAACAACAGAAGGTTAAAACCCCTTTTTTTAACCTTTTGAACGTATCATGCTGCATCGCAGCTTCGAAGGGAGGAGCACCGTAGAGGAACTCATAGCAAAGTACACCTAGCGTCCAGTTATCAACTGTATAATCGTGAGCCTTGTTTTCGACCAGCTCTGGAGCTAGATAATCCAACGTTCCACACATGGTGTGCCTCTTGCTTCTCGATTGAACCGACCACCCAAAATCCGCAATCTTCAAACGGCCCTGTAACAATGGTGGAGAATTAGTAAATTGAAGACTATCCATAAACTGTTCGCCATAGGAGAACTACCGTGCCATTAGGAATCTCAAGGCACCACAAAGAAACTACAGAATTTTGTACTCTTATGAAAGAAATCAACCTTAGAAACGGAAACAAACTGCACAACGAAGCTCAAACATCCCGCTACAAATATAGACTACAAGCTGCAGCTCACTTTGTAAAGAACGACTGCCTAGTTTCTTCTGGTATGCAAAAATCACGTCATTCAAACTCTGAATCAACTTTTGGCAGTTGCAACAGCGAAAACCCAATTGGAATTAGCACAATTTACGGCTGAACTTTTAGCAGAAAGAGCTCAATTTGGAAAAAATCCCAGATGCTGATTTCTTCTAGAAAGCGAAATCCAGACATACATTAAATTTTGTACCTCATGATCCAGCAAGAGATTCTCCGGCTTAATGTCTCTGTGAATCACATCCTGTGAATGGCAATAAGCCAAGGCGTTCGCGAGACTGGCAATATACTGAAATACAATAACAATGGCCGAGGCAGAAAGGTTAGAAACCCTAACGAGCTCCGACTACAAAAAACACAGCCAGATAAAGAAAAATGAAATTGGATTGTGCTGGCTCATCACCGTTGCAGATTCTCTCTCCGTCAAGTGGCCGCGCTCCCTCAGCACGCCATAGAGCTCACCGCCATGAGCGTACTCGAGTATAAGGAAAATTCGGTCGTCGTCATCGAACCAGCCATAGAGGCGTAGAACGTTGGGATGTTTGAGGGTGGACTGAATCTCCATCTCTCTCCGTAACTGGTGATGGATACGGTACTTGTCAATTTGTTCCTTGAAAAGCACCTTCAACGCCACAATGTACTTGCTCTAGAAATTCAACCACGTAAATCTCTACTGTAAGTAATTAATCTCCATGGAAATTTTCTACAGAAACAAGCGCGAGAAAGTCCAATCAAAAGAAGACGAGTGAATTGAGTTTACCTTTACTTCTCGAGCGACATAGACTCTGCCGAATTTTCCTCTTCCCAGAGGTCTCCCGATTTCGAAGTTCTTCAACGACCACTGCCCGTATGCGGCGGCATTTTTCTCCGACTGATTACGAGCTTCATCATTTGCCGACGAAGACGCCTTCGGTTGATTGTGAGTTTGACCGATCATCTCTAGCTTCCGTCGCCGGAACCAAAATGTCAGTTGGGGAGAGAAGGGATGTTGACAATAACCGTTTTGAAATTGGAATTTTGAAAATCACACTCGCCCCTCTTTTTACCATGGTAAAGAAACCGTAACAAGCATCATACCGAATTTTTTTCTGGTAGGATATTTTGTGGTACGATCGTGGTTCAACCGTTTTATACTGGTAAATATCGTTTGTATAATAAAAAAATATTTTTTATAAAAAAATTGTGTCGACAAAATCAGGGTACCGTTTCGGATTAATACCAGATGTATCTGAATATACCGGACAATTTTTTAGTAATTTGCAGATGAGCACCAAATCATATACATGCTGAACAGAGGTTTATTGGAATAATATAACTTTATTGAGCAACGATGTACTAACCCTTTATTAAGGGATAGCTAACTTTTATCTTAACAAAGGCAAAATACACATGGATAGCCCTAACTTTACACTTTGTGACAATAATAGATTATTTTTAAAAAATACACAGATATAGCCAGATTTTAAAATTATGTTTGCCAAATTTAGTCATTTTCGTTAAAATATTAACGGCGTTAGAGGTGCCATTAACGTCCGTCAACAATAAGCTGAGGTGGCAACTACTAAGCTTTCACATCAACTCTCTGTCCCCTGTCACGTATATACCATGTCAAAATAAAAATATATATTAATTTGAAAATTTATTTCTATCAAATAATTACTAAATTTCCCCTATGAGTTGGGGATTTCTTCCCCACCCCCGAAATTGGGGATCTCTAATTCCTTCCTCATTTATTGAATCCATCCACAACCGAGCTCGCCGACTACCTGCGGATCTACCAGCCGGCTAGTTATCTCCGGCCTTCTCATCCTCGCCAACAACAAGCATCAGGTTTCTCTCCCAACCGGCACTGCCGCATGCGTCCCTTCCACATTGGCTTTCCATCTCTTTCAGCTCTTGGCATTCTCCGCCATCTCTGCCGCTGCCGCAACCACGATTGGAGGTAGCTGGAGTGAGAAAGGAGGTGGAGAGAGCGGCGCCGGAGCTCGGTGACCACCACCGCCATTACTCTTCTCCTTCTTCTCCCTTCACTTAGCTAAGGGGAGCTGGGTCTCGGCGACGGCAGGTGGGTGGTGGTGGAGAGGGAGATGGAGATGGGTTAGTGGAGTCAAGGTCGCCGACTCTGGCGATTCTTCTTCTCGGCGGCATGATCAGAACCGTCCGGCATTTCGCGGCAGGCCGATTCCACCGCAAATACCGGCTGGTACGGCAATCTGCCCATATTTAGCTTGTCGTTTCGGATTTGGCCAGGTTTCCGGTTTTTTCCGGTTCAACCGTCCGGTCCGATCTTGTATCCTGGACCATGCTTTTTACGAGCATCCAACCCACGTCAAACTTTCATATTTATTTCGTATATAAAAATCTATCAATATCAAGATTTGAACTCGAGTCTTTTGTTGTATCTTTTTAAATACAAAAAAAAAAAAAACACACAAAGTGATAGTCTGAATATCGGAGGACATTTCCATCATTATTATCAAACCCACTAAGTCTATCATATTTATTTTATGGTGCTTGATACTACAATTTTTATAGCAGAGTTTCATGCAGTTTTCTCAATTCTAAAATTACTGCTCCCTCCTTAATTTTCGCTTAAGGTAAATTGGTAATTGGCCAACATAGAAGAAACTAATTTTATTACTACGGGTTGTGTTCTTGCATTTTTTCATTTATATTTGAATTTAGTACCTTCTTTATCTTTCTTATATCTCTTTCCAACTTCCTCCGAAATTTCCTCCATGGTAGAGTAGTTTACGCCCCTTTCACTTCATAGTACAAGGCTGCCTTTGGAAATCAATCTTCTGCTATCTCTTCGCACTACGATTTTGTTATTTGGGATTTAAAATGGGTAAGTAGAAGACTTCAACTCCGATATCAATCCATGGCAAATAGAATGAAGTTCAATAAATGGAGTTGCAGATGGAGGATTGGAAATTGAATTTTTGGTTGAAACATACACATCTTGAAATTGAAGAGTGGATAAAATTTTGATTGTACAACGATGAGTGGTGGCTATTGGATCTTTAGATTTATGATTTTTGCACCTATCACAACCTATTTCTATCTTAAAAAGAGGAATCACTAATTGATTTACTGAAGCAGGTCGATTGATTCTTTATTCAACCTACTAGAACTGATAGAGGAGTGTCTAATTTTGTCCCTTATGACTTTGATCGAGTCTATTAGTATATTGGAGGTAACCCTAATGTTGACATTTGCTCTCAAGTTTTGATGGTCCCCTCTTAGTTGAGTTGTTAGTATATAGTTGACTTGAATCAACAACTCTCCATTTCTTTGTGATTAGTGGCATATTGTTCCTTAAAGCAGAGCATTGAACATTTATATAGGATTTGCGAGGTTTAAGATTTAGTTTCAAACTATCTATGGTTTGTGTGGGAATTTCAGTGAGCATTTATACTTTATCTTTATTGACAATCAACTAACCGATAGTATTTTATCGGAGAATTAATTCTCATTATGAAAATGGGATCAATGATACATTTTTATATGTTATATTATTAAATGATGATGATATTTGTCCAAATGTTCGACCATATATTCTTTCTTTATGTATCATCTCGATCGAAAAATTATATATAAAATTAAATTGGTTGATAGACTTAAACGTAACATAATAATATAAATAATCAAATATGAATATTTCAGCCAACGAGCCGGGTTATAAGCTAGTAATATAATAGAAGGAAGGAAAAAACCCTTCTCCCATTTCAAATTTTCTTCTCCATGAGCGTTTGTAGTAAGGTTAGAATAGGCAGTGTCATTTTTTTCTCTTTCCTCAATAAAATGGGCCAACTTACCGTATATCCAGTGTAGTCAAAAGCGTGTTTCTACGTAGAAGCGTTTTGGTGATCCAGAAGCATAAAACCGTAGGTTTTTAATTTTTAATGCGCAGTTTTAAACTACATTAATTATAAAAATGGAGATTATGTGTAAGCTTTTGGGTGACCTAGAAGCGTAAAACAATAAGTTTTTAAGTTTTAAATCGCAATTTTGACTACATTGCGTATATCACTGTCCTGAACCGCCGCCTCGCAAAGCACTCCGGGCCAAATTACCGTCTCCTTTATTGTTTTTGTTTAGTTGCCCTCTTCGATTGCTGTGCTTCATCGCTGACTGAGCACCCCACCCCAATTCCCTGGCCGTCGCAGGGATTTTACCCTCGAGTTGTGGCCCAAAAATTCATTCCTTTTCTCTTCCCAGCTATCTTCGTTATTACCACTGTCATGGTCCCAGCTATTCTATTTTAGTTCAGCTAGTACAAATCTAAACATCTAATCTAACTAGCTAATGAACTTTAATGAAATACTTAACTCGTTTTGCCAAACTGAGTCGGCATGATGTTGACCATGTGGCCAAAGAAGTACCGAATAGACTGGAACTAAAAACAAATTTTTTTTATTAAAAAACGTAATTAAAAAAAAACTCGCCGCCACCACCACCACCTCCATTGTCGCGTGCTTGTCTTCCTCTTCTTCCACAACCCCTTTTTCCTCTGGCTCCGGCTTCCTCTTTGCCGAAGTCAGACATCCTTCCACTGTTTAAAAAACATATCTAGTCTGGAGCCGTTCCGAGCGAGAGAAGAGAGGTTCCGTGTGAGAGTGAGGTTAGGAGGAGGAAGTTTCCAGCTGACCCGCGTGAGCAAGGTGGAAGCAGGGAAGGGGAAACGAAAAAAGAGGATTTGAGTCTTTGTTGGGAGTAGGGATGGCAATGGGTCGGGTTGGGTCGGGTTTTGCCAAACCCAAACCCAAACCCATGGGTTTATCTTTGAAAAAAACCCGGGGTAAAACCCACTGGGTTTGAAAAACTCAAACCCAACCCAACCCGTTGGTTATCCGCGGGTTCATGGGTACCCACGGGTTTTGTCGTAAAAAATTTACAATTACAAGTTCTTATCAAAATTAAAGTCAAGTATCAATCTCTCAATACAAATTATCCATATATAAAACACCATTCTAGAAAATTCAAGCAAATCACAAATAAACTATACAAATTGTTCAATACCAATCTAGAAAACTCAAGAAAATTGAAGCAAATCACAAATTATTCATAAATAACATGTTTAATTGAAAGCTTCTTCCTTTCAATTAAGTTTCTTTACTCTCCACTCCATAACATCAACTTCATTCTACACAATTAAAAAGAAAAAATTAGACATGTCTCCACAAACATAAATAAGATTAGTTGTTTAGAATATTAAATATACCGAAAAAATTAATTATATGAGTGGGCGGGTACCCACGGGCCGTGTTTACCTAAACCCAACCCAACCCGATGAATAGTGAACGGGTTTAAACCCAAACCCAGCCCAAAACCCGTCAACACGGATTTTACCCGCGTTGACCGGGTTGGATCGGGTGGGTACCCGTGGGTTCGGGTTTTGTTGCCATCCCTAGTTGGGAGGGGTTGGGGAAGACGAAAACGAAAATATGGGATTAGCGAATTCGGTTAAAACTGGCGCGTGTCCGCCTTTTACAGTGCATTCGCTTGATTCTAGGGCGGACCCGCCTGTGGTGAGGCTATTTTCGCAGCTCACTCGGATTCGTCTTCTCATGCTTTCAAAACACAATATTTGTATAAATAGTTTTAAAACCACTAAATTTTTAAAAAGCAATATTTTGAAAATTAGTCCCATTAGTTTCAACGAGTTACAATCTTATTGGTAAATAGATAATTCAGCATGAGCAAATCCGAACAAAATTAGAGCTTGTCCGTTTGTTCTTTTCAAAATAATATTTGTTTAAATATAAATATTTAGTAATCTAGATATTTTCACATTCTTAAATAAATAATTTTATATAGTTATTATTTTTTTCTTTATATTTAATATGTTTCATTATATTGTTTGTTATTCTAATAAACAATCATATAAACAAAATGATTTTGCAACCTTGTATAAGAATCATGTATAATACTACTTTCTAATTTTAAACACTAATTTTATCCTAACCTTTTTACAAATTGTAACAGCTACAAGTCTACAACTTAATCATTATGCAACCACACAGCTTATAGTTGACCCCGATCTCCAAATAGTTATGACTACTTAACTAGAGAATAATTGAAATTATTGTTAAAAAATAATTGAAAAGTAATATTGAAATTAATTGGAAAGTATTGAATTTCCTATCAAGGCAAAATAAAATAAAATTTTTTATTGTTAATTACCGGAAAATAGTGTTAGTATTGAGTTAATGAGAAAAGACAAGTTTATAATAAAAAAAAGTAGTGGGAAAAAAATGAGCCCTCAAGTGGGGAAGTTTGTTTCCGAGGGACTCCTGACCTCTACGACTTGCAGCAGCGGGGATTTGACGACAAAGAACTCGGCGCTGAGACGATTTGTTGGGTTACGTTGGTGTTCGCTGATCTCTTTCATATGACAGGAATGTTGTCGGCGATGCCATGGAGAGAGTCCAAGAAGTGCTGCAGAAGTAGTGAAACTTCGGCATAGAGAGATGATTTTTGGATTCATATCACCCTATTTTGTTTAATGATTTTGCTAGTTTATAGTATATGTTTACTCAATAGGAAAGGGGTTGAGGAAAGACAGTTGGGGGGTAATAGCAGCTGTATTTGTTCAAGTTTTCTTGTTTTGTCGGATGTTCCTTCTTTGGGGATGTCCTAGGGATTATTTGATCATCCCACATCTCGGTTTCTTAATAAAGAGAGGAACTGATTCAACAAGGAAAAAAAGAGCTATTCGAAAGGGTTAAAGACACATTTGGTCACTGAGATTACTAAATCGGGACATGTTTAGTCACTAGAAAAAATTAATATCAATTTTAGTCACTCGAATTACTGAAACAGGTCACATTTAGTCACTCTCCGTTAGTCTCCGTTCAACTCAGTTAATGAAGTCCGTTAAGTGCTGATGTGGCAAACAGAATTACCTAATCAGCTGGATATAGCCCAACAAAAATAAAACCCAACCCGCCACGTCATTATAATCAACCCAACCCAACCCTTCTTCCTCCTTCCTCCCACCTCCTCCCGCAAACCACACTCTCCTCTCCTCCTCCGTAATTTCCTTCCGACGCTGCTGATTATAGGTAATTCCCTTCTTCTCCTCCTCCAACCCTTATCCAAATACAAGGAAATTCCCCTCCTCTCCTCCTAAAGACCTTGAAATCTCCGGTCCAAGAATGGACTCGCTCGGCGAGTCACCATAAGGGGTAATATACACCGGCGGGGAGGTTCTCATCCTTCTGACTCCCATCATCTCTAGTGCGCCGGTTGTCAGGCCTTTCATCAGAAAACTCTACCCGCAAGAGAATAGGAACCAGTCAACCCTCGCTGTTGACACCAACCCGTTTGTAGATCCGAAGGCAACAATGCCTTCTGTGAGCAAACCCGCGTCTCTCGACCATACGACGCCGTTCAGCGCTCCAACAACGCAAGCTCCGGGCATGGTTCAAAGAAGATGGCCATCGGAGTTCGCCGCCGAGCAGTGGATCGAGCGGCTTTGAACAAGAGCCCGCCGGAGAAGTGACGACGAGTGGTGGTACCACCGAGATCGACTACGATCTTGATGGATTGGAGCGTAGACTGAAGAGTTGCGAAATCTTTGGAGACGGGAAGAACGATTGTGTTTTGTATGAGATTGGAGGAAGAAATCAGAAGGGAGAGATGGGGGGAGATGGAAAGGAAAAGGAGGAATCGGAGAAGAGAAGTGAAATCAGAAAGGTTGGTGCTTTGTAAGAGATTGGAGGAGAAATCAGAAGGGAGAGATGGTGGGAGATGGAAAGATAGAGGAATCGAAGAAGAGAATCCATTTTCGGCTGGGTTTGGTGGAATAAGAGGTTTGGGAGGAAGGAGAAAAGTATTAGGTCTAGAAATGGTCTCTTATCCAATCTATTTTGCATTTTTTTAAGTGGGCTTGGGTTTGGTTTATGGGTCGGGTGGGTGCATGAGTTGGTTGTCATATGACATGGCGGGTTTAGTGACGTGGCGGGTCGGGTTTGACCATTTCCGGCCTAAAAAGACGCTGACTAGGCGCCTCTGTTTGCCACATCAGCACTTAACGAACTTCATTAACAGAGTTGGACGGAGACTAACGGAGAGTGACTAAATGTGACCTTTTTCATCAATTCGAGTGACTAAACTTGATATTATTTTTTTCTAGTGACTAAACATGTCCTGATTTAATAATCTCAGTGACCAAATGTGTCTTTAACCCCTATTCGAAAATTGCGTATTTAATGAATTTTTTTTATTGCCAAACACATCATTTGTTTTTATTGCCAAACACATCATTTGATATTCCTATCTAGTCCCACTAATTTGAGTGATTTACACGCATAAAATTGCAGCAGTGACTCCAGATTTGGTCTCACTATGCCATCACAAAATGTGGTGTGTTGGTGAGATGTTTCTAGATAATAAAAATAAAAAATTTAAGCGATCTACACATTTGCTGTTCTCAGCAAGGCCTTGCATTCTTAGGCCTTCCAATTTCATGTACATAACAACAAAGAACAAAGTGTTTTGACAAGTTTCTTATTGTTATCCATGTAACAAATGTGGATTGAACAAGAACAACAACATTGGACGTTGCCGGTCCATTAGCAATGGCACAGAATTTCTTCCAAGTAAATTTGACACACTGAACGGCTCACAGACGAACACTTGCATACAAGGCACACTCAAATGTGTACAGTTAGATCAGTGACCAACATATAGAGCAAGGGGTGGAACTGCATCTGATTAAACTGCCATACCCTTCCAGACCTCATCATCCAGCAACAAGCGTAACCCTACTGCTGCTTTGAACAACGCACCTCAGGAGTCCATAACTACTCTACCTTCCTAATTAAGCTTCATCTAGTTCCACGTAAACTGTCTGGAAAGGCTGTAAAATGAAACTATCAGCTTTCTTACCTCCTAGACTGGGGAAGGACCAGAACCAACCTTCTTCCACAACTCCACCCAATCCATCATAGCTTCAGCCGCACGACCAAACCCAGGATCAGAACCTCCCAACTGCTCTTTCACCCTTTTCGCCATCTCAGCCACACAATCCTCGGCCGTGGTTGCAGTTCTTGACAACACCATTGATTGGAACCAAGGAACCACTTCCTCCATTAGTTTCACGCCTTCCCACTCCTTCTTCAGGCTCTCAATGGCATCACCTCTATCATTCCTCCACACATAAGGAAGCCCACTTTTCACTCCAAGCCCAAGATGGTCGCACACCACCTTCACACACATCCCACTCCATATGTCCTCCATTGTTTCCCATCTCACCTTCCCTTCCACAGTCAACCTCAGAGCTGGGCATAGTGCAGGCCCTACCACCTCACGGTTAAAAGCAATGTTGATCCCACTGATTGGCATCATTACCCTGGCTGGAACGGTCATCACTGCATCAACATAACGGGAGTTCCTCTTTTCTGGCTCAGTGCTTGTGTTGGTGCATCTAAGTCTGCCAAGTTAAGCCAGAGCCCGCATGACAAAGCACATGTTACCCCACTTCTTAAGCTAAATGGATACCCACGAACGAAATCTGCCCCATTACGATAAGGGTCATAAAGGGTATTGAAGAAGAAAGGTGTTGCTGGCGTTGCAAGGTTTCTCAGATGTTGAGCCACTGGATCTATGAGAATACTGTCGGCATCTTTGGCCGGCACGCAGTCATCGTCAATTGAGACAATGTACTTCTTACGAGAGACGAGGAAGCCAAAATACTTGCATGAATAACCTGAGAAAGCAATGGAGGTGGAACTGCCTACTACTTTGTCAATATGAGACTTTGTGTAGATGTCAATCTTGAAAGAAAGACCTTCTGTTATTTGTAAATCATCCTTGAGATCAGGGTCTTTGACAATAATCAAGTGATAACGAGAAAATATCGACTTCCACGCACTCATAAATGGCCTGAGATCGGAGTGCAATGCTCCAATCACAATGTCAATCTCACCATCTTCAATGTTGTTGACTACAGACATCTTCGGAGACTCTAGGAACAATCAAATCGTTTTCCACTTTAACCCCCTCCTAGGAACAACTGATTCAATATGAAATCTAGCACATTCGTCTCAGAATTTCTCTGAGCATCCTATCAAAATAAAATAAATAATTCAGAAAACTTGGTCAAGGTTCATCAAGTAATACCTCTAAGGAAACAGAAACAACACTCACTGGTGGGAAGGACGGGAGTCAGGATGTGTTGTATATTGAGTGTCTGAATAAGAGAAAGCACTTCTTCTTTGCCTGTTGCCAAGAAAAGCTTCAGAATTTTCTCATTCAGCTTCCCAGCTCTCAAGGTTCTCTTCTCAAAACAAAACAAAACAAACTGAGTGTCACCAAAAATTACATCATGAACCAATCGATGCTTTTATACTAAAACCATCAGAACCCTTGGAATCAAGAAGGCAAAAACCATCATCAGAAGCATTGAGGTTCATTTTCAAGTAATGTTTGAAGAACTAAGCAAGTATCACAACTCCAGGGCAGCTGCTACAGATATGCTTGATTCAATTAAACTAGTCTATATCCGAAGCCATAGATAATTTAAAAAGCGCTACACCCACAAGAGAGGAAACAACTTGGGTTATTGTGAAGTATAGTTCAGAGACCCAAAGGATGCAGTTGGTCAGAAAAGGTAACAGCAGAACAGAATGTTCAAAAATCCTAAATTAGCTCCGTTTAATGAATGAATAACTGTACTGAACTTATGATATATGAAATCAGAAGTTGCGTCCAGTTTAAAAGGGCTTCGCTCTACCAGAGAAAGACACAAGTTGGCATATACTTGAATGTCGACTAGAGAAATATTCAACTACAGGAAACCCATGAGAAAAAAAATAATAATATATTCAACTACAGGAAGCTGCATATACCAAAAGGAAAAGCCTAAAGCAAACCAAGAATCAGAAATGTCCAGCATTCACAATACATTTCAAGACACATAGCAAACCAATCAAGAGAGCACAGACAAAACACCCCCCCTAATTTGCACAGCATCGTAACGGGTTTTCAAGGGCGATCAAGAAAAGCATACAGCGGAAGATATTCCAATAATCGAAATGGGGATATGTCCAATCTTTAGGTTTTACTGATCTAAATCCCATAGTTACAAAGTTCAACCTATATATTTTACCGATTGCACTATCAATCCGTTGACTCCATACAAACCCTAAGGCAGAAATCTACAGGAAGAAACAGATAAAACCAATAAGATTCACACCTTGATCACCAAATCAAGCGCCAGAAACGAAACCCAGATAACAAAATAATCAAATCAAATCAAATAGGGAAGGGCAGGAAAGTAAGAAGAAGGAGAAAAGGGGAAGTACCAGGAAGAGATCGAGCAGAATGTGATCAGGGAGAGGAGAGAGATCGGAGAAGTGAGAGAGGTGAAGGACAGAAGCGTCAACGGCGAGGGAGAGCAAAGATGGTGGCTGAGTTCTCATTCATTCATATTAGGGATGAATGGGAAATTAAAAGGGGAAGGAGAAATTTGAGGAGAGGGGTCAGCAGTGGCAGCAAGCCAGCATAAACCGTATCTTTCTCTGCTCTCTCCTCTTCCACCGACACCGAGAACTGGAATTGCCGAATTGGTCCACCCTGTCAGAAACTCCACGGAATTCGCAGCAGCGCAAAAAGCCGGGCTTTGTAGTTTTGTCCGTCGGTCCATCCGTCGCCTGCGCCTCCGCACTTCGATATAGGGGTGGGCAACGGGAAACGGGTATTTGGGTATATTCGTACCCGTCCCATTTTTTGAGGGTTACGAGTACCCAAATACCCGTAATTTTTTTGTACGGGATGGGACTTGGGATCATGATTCGCTACTTTGGATACCTGCGGGTTACCCGTTAATACCCGTTTGGGTATTACGGGTACCCGTTATACCCATTAATCCAAAATTGTTGCAAAGGGGATTGTCAATTTGTTCTTAGAAAAAGCATTTACTTGCATTGGAATATGTGTTTATTCCCTCTAAACATGAATCATTACTTCATTAGCTAGTACAAAGCAACCATTCATATATAAAGTGCACGTTTAATTAGTGATCTAATTACCTTTACAAACGTAGTGCATTACAAAGCTGCTTCGTCAATAAAAACCAATCAGCTTTCTTCTTCAAGCAAACATATCTGCCAATCAGCTTGGTCTGTACAGATGCCATCAAACTCCCAAATAGTAATCCTATGCCAACTGCTAAGATAACCTCGTCAATCTAAATATCAGAAGCCCAAAATAAAATTGCAATCCAAATGTCAGGCAATCAAAACGAGAGGGTCAAACTGAATTTGGAGGGAGTACTGCACAGCAACGTCACTTGAGGCACTCCTCGCCAGCGACCCTGGCCAAGTCTTGACTCAAATCCCGTTTTGGGTTTCGTTGATGATGCAGTTCTGGACTGTAATTCCTATAATGTTTTCTTCATTTGGGTACTTCCCTAGGCTTCCTATGTTGTTTACAGAGTGGACACCGATTCTGAGAAATGGTGGAAAATAGATTTTGATGGAATTTTTTAGCCAAAGAACAAAGAAGGCGTTGCTGCTGTTTCTTCCACCAATTAGACGGGTATTTACGGGTAGTATGGGTACCCGTTATCCGTCCCGTACGGGTAATGGGTACCCGTTACCCGTACGGGTTTGGGACTTGGGATGAAAGTTGCTCTCCAAATAAGACTGGGTACCCATTTTAAACGGGACGGGTAGCCCGTCCTGTCCCGTTGCCCACCCCTACTTCGATACCTATTTCTCCCCCGGCTCCCTCTTCTTTTTTTTTTTGGCATAGATCGGTAAGATAATAGATATTACAGGACGCTAGATAACCAAGTGCGACAGTCGATACTAATTCGAGCTGTCGATGAAAGGGCATAAGAAGCCACTAAGTGGGCAGCCCTGTTGTACAACCTCGGCGTAAATGTACAAATAAAGGAATTAAAAGACTCTGAGACCACACAAATCTCTTCTAAGATCGCTCCACAACTCCCATGCGCCACATCCCGGTCTTGAATCCTGCGAATCAAAGGCTGACAGTCTCCACAGAAATTGGTTACCTTAAAACCATGTGAAATACACCAATTAATTGCATTCCGCAAGGCAAAAGCCTCAGATATAAATGGATCAGACACACCTGGATAGAATTTCCCGAACGCGAATAGAACCTGTCCCTCGGGGGTAAAGCCTACAAAACCTGCGGCACCACCGATTCCCCGCTTGTATGCACCATCAAACCTGACCAAAATCCCATCAGTTGGACACTCACCTGCAGTTTGCGGCCGAGTCAATCTCTGCACCGTCTGAGAAGCTTCCGCCGAAGCACCACCAAGGCCTTTGTGCAGTGTCAAGGGTGCGGTAGCAAGCCTCCACTCCTCAGACTGAGACCTGAGTTGGCGAAGAAGGGCAGGCCCTAAGTACTGAATATGCTTGTGTACCGCCCAGCACCGGGATTTCCAAACTCGCCAACACAGAAACACAACATCAACCATCTCTGTTTTAGATAAATTGCAGGAAAAGAACATAGTAATCCAGCACTCTGAAAAGGATAAACTAACCAATCTGCGACGCAAATTCCCCAACCCGGCTAGCTCCCATAAATCAGTTGCTACCCGACATTGGAGAAAGGTGTGTGTCAGAGTTTCCGCCCCTGCCGAACAGATCGGGCATGTAGCATCCGTAACCAGTCGCTTCCCCTGTAGTACCGCACAAACCGGAAGGAATCCTCGAACTAGCCGCCACCAGAAAAATTTAAGCTTGGGAGGTACTTGCAAACCCCAAAGCATCTTCCAAAACCTGCTGTCATAAGGCAACGGAGAAGGAGGGTGAGCAGCAAGCAATTCCGTAGACAGCAAGTGGTACCCGGACTTGACTGTATATTTCCCGCTTGGTGAATAGTGCCAGATTAGTTTGTCCGGCTGCGGCTGAACCGCAAGGGGAATGGACATGATAAGTGCAACCGAGCATGGTTGAAACAGGCTACTAAGAAGCTGCAAGTTCCATGAACGAGAAAAAGGATAGATTAGCTCAGAAACAAAAATTGGGCAAGCCCAAACATTCTGAAGTAACAGAGGAGAGGAAGGAGGGTTAGATGGCATCCACTTATCTGCAAGGACTTGAACGACCGTCCCGTCACCAATCCGCCACCGTAAGCCCATCAGGAGAAGATCTCGCCCAGCTAGAATGCCCTGCCAAGCCCAAGACGGCCTTGGCCCGGGTCTGGCTTCCAGGAACGAAGTGTGAGGGTGGTACCTGGCCCTGTACACTTCAGCCAGCGTAGAATCTGGATTGGTAAGGACCCGCCAGGCTTGTTTGGCTAGTAGAGCAACATTGAAACGGTCAAAGTCGCGGAAGCCTAGGCCCCCTTCGAATTTGCTAAGGCAGACCTCTTGCCACGATAGCCAATGCATGCCAACCTCCTTGTCTTGGCCAGCCCACCAAAACCGAGAGAGCTGCCCGTTTAACCTGCGACAAGTAAAAGCAGGCAACCAAAAAGCCGACATAGCATAAATAGAGGAAGCTGAACCAATGGATTTTATCACCGTTTCTTTAGCCGCCAAAGACATGGATTTTGATTTCCATGAACGGATGCGAGCAGCCAAGCCTTCCTCAACAAACCTGAAAGTTTGGGTCTTTGACCTCTGCATATGAACCGGGAGCCCTAAATACTTGTCCTGCAATTGGGAATCCGCCACCCCCAAGCACGCTCCCAACGCTGCCCGTTCCTGGTCCGAAACATTGGAACTCACCGACATGGACGACTTGGACAGGTTTACTCGCTGCCCGCTCACACGGCCAAGCTCATCCAGAATAGACAGCAAAGCATTACATTCCGGTAAGGACGCACGGAGGAAAAGGTAAGTGTCATCAGCAAATAGTAAATGAGAAGTCATAGGAGCAAACCGATGCACGCGCAAACCATGTAATGAAGCAACCATGATCTCACTGGATATCTTAGCCGAGAAGGCCTCAGAGAAAATAGCATAGAGAAGGGGCGAGAGGGGATCACCTTGTCGCAATCCACGCTGGGGCCTGAAGTACCCATGAGGTTGACCATTGATCAAAACAGAGAAGGACACTGTGGAAATACACGCTTGAATCCACCGCCGCCACTCATAGCAGAATCCCAAGTGCTCCATTATCAGTAATAAAAACGACCATTCGACCCGGTCGTAAGCTTTCTCCATATTGAGTTTAAGCGCCATCCACTTGTCACGACCCTGCACCTTAGTTTTCAAGAATTGCATAACTTCTTGACCAATTAACACATTGTCAGTAATGGACCGACCACGAACAAAGCCATTTTGGGTGGAACTAACAACATCAGGAAGAATCACACTCAATCTGGCAGCTAAAATTTTTGCTATAATCTTGTAGAATACCTGGCACAAACCTATGGGTCGAATTTGGCGCATTGTGTCGGCATTTAGAACCTTGGGCAGCAAGGAAATGAGCGTGTGATTGAAACTGTGAAGGAGCCGGCCAGTGCGGAAGAAGCTGAGAACCGCTTCTGTGATAAGATCTCCCACAACCTCCCAATTAGCTTGGAAAAAGGCAGCAGACAGGCCATCCGATCCTGGGGCTTGATGGCTCCCAATCCGGAAGACTGCTTCCTTGACTTCCAGAGTTGAGACGGGAGCTACTAGGCGTTCATTCATCTCCCTAGTCACACGAGTAGGCAAACCCAGAGACTCTACATAGGCTGTAGCATCCACATTGTTAGAAGAAAAAATGGATTGGTAGAAGGAAACAGCTATACCTGCCATACCTTCCTCCTCATGATGTAGGGTACCAGAATCGTCCTTCAGGCCTTGTAACCTGTTGAATCGACGCCGTTGCATGACTGTTATGTGGAAAAGATTAGTATTGTCATCCCCTTCCCTTAACCAACCCACCCGGGATTTCTGCCGCCAAAAGCACTCCTCTTCCACGAATGCATTTGATAGAGCAAGTTCCAGCTGCCGGATAGCATCCCAATCCACCGCCTCTGCTTCCCGAAGATCCAGAATCGTTGCCTTGAGTTCTCGAATTTGCCGAGCCGAATTAGAGGTACCCAACTTAGCCCATTCCACTAAATCATGACGCACAATTTTGAGCTGGGTAAACGCCCTGAACTGCATTGAGCCTCGGGTCGGTTTGGCCCACGCCGCCTGGATAATTCCCAGTGCCTCATCATTGGAGTTCCAACTCCCATCATACTGAAACCGAGTGTGCCTATGCTGACCCTGTTTAATAAGCTGCACAAGAATGATACGATGATCAGATCCTAAATCTGATAAGTGAATTACCTTTAAGTCAGGCCATTCCGTCATCGTTGATGTACACCCGAGGCATCTATCCAATCTCTCAAGAATGTGATCCCCCCCGGCTCGCCTATTCGACCACGTGAAAGGAGACCCATGGAAGCCTAAATCAACGAGTCCGGTAGATAAAATGAATTCATTGAGGTGCTCTAGGGCATCCATGGATGGAACATTACCCCCCCCCCTCTTCTCTGCCGAGGACAGGGGGCAGTTGAAATCACCTACAACAAAGGCTGGTAAGGACACCGACAAAACCAAAGAAGCAATTTCATTAAGTTGAGAAAGCCTAGATGAAGCATCACACGAGAGGTGTACAAAGAAAATGACAAATCGACCTACTGGTGGAACAAGACACTCCACAAAACAAAGAAAGGAAGAAAGCTTGTGAACTGTACATGACACATGATCTCC